GTTTGCATGGAGTAGCTACAGGTGAGAATATTTTCAAATAAGTTATGAAATGCTAATACAATACAACCTGAAAATGATATCTTCTAAAAAATGTGTTACAACTGATAGTGGTAAAAATACCTGTGAAGCAGGAAAGTTTTGGTTGAACAAATTAACAAAGCTTTTGAAGACAAAAGCTGTTTAAAGTCTTTGGTTATTCAGTAGTACTTCACAGGAAATATTTCAGTCTACCATTTGTTACTGAACCGGTAGTGTTAACAGTGGACTTCATTCACTCTTGTGACTTAACCACTATGAGTTCTGTGAATTTTTGTCAGAAATAGAAGTGAAATATCCTAGCTTGCTCTTCTGCATAACAGTTCAATGATTTAGCAGTGGTAATGTTTTATTGTGGTTTTTTTGAGCTCAAGGCCAAGATTGAAATTTTTCTGAAAGAGAAGAATCTCTTTGGATTAGTATTATCAAGCACTGAATAGGTTTGCAAATTGGCTTTTGCTGCAACTTATAAATTTTATTAGTGAGTTCAACCTAAAATTACAAGGAAAACAGTGCTCACATGAGTAACTTGTACTAAGGCAAAGTCATCTTGGTTTTTGTTGTTTGAATCACAAGTAATGTCAAGCTACTTTATATACTTTCTGTACTGTTGAAAGTTAAAACAAGAAATGAGATCTTCATTCCTACACAAATTTGTAGCAGGTATTTTTCCCAGCAGCATTTTTTGGCCTATTATGCAAATGTATAAAGATAAATATACTCAATTAAAACCATATAATTAGAATGATGATCAACATCAGTATTTGGTAGTACCTATCTTTGTGAAAGACATTTTCAAAGATAAAAAAATCTATAAAATCTCATTAGAGATCAACATTAACAGGTGCACATTACAATTATTTTTTAAAATTTATTTTTTATATTGAGTTATAAAGCACACATCATAAAATTCATCATTTTAAAGTATACAATTTTGTAGTTTTTAGTATTTTCACAAAGTTGTACAATTACTATCTAATTCTACCACATTTACTTCCATACCAAAAAAACCCTGATACCCATTAGTAGTCACTAATTTCCCCCTTCTCCCCATCCCTTGCAACCACTACTTACTTTTTGTCTCTATGGATTTGCTTATGTTGAACATTTCAAATAAATGAAATCATATAAATGGCCATTTGTATCTGGCTTCTTTCACTTAGCATAATGTTTTCAAGATTTATCCAGTGGTATCCAGTTTCATTACTTACGTTCCTTTTCCTGGTTGAGTAACATTCCATTGTATGTGTATACCACATTTGTCCAGTCATTAGTTGATGGATATTTGGGTTGGTTACATGTTTTTTGCTATTATGAATAGTACTCCTAGGAGCATTCATGCACAAGATTTTGTTTGAGTACCTATTTTCAATATTTTTTTGGTATATACTTCATAGTGGAATTTCTGGGTGTTGTGGGTTAAATTTTATTTTCCCAAAAGATATGTTGTAGTCCTAACCTTTGGTACCTGTGACATGACCTTATTTCAAAATAGGGTCTTTGCAGATATAATCAAATGAAGATGAGGTCATACTAGATTAAGGTGAACTCTAATCAAGTGATGGATCTCCTTATAAGAAGAGGGAGATTTGGACAGAGAGACAGACATACACAGAGAGGAGGCAGCTACGTGAAGACAGAAACACAAATTGAAGTGATACAACTCTAAGCCAAGGAAGGCAGGAATTGCTGACAACCACCAGAAGCTAGAAGAGACAAGGAAGGATTCTTTCCTAGCATTTTCAGAGGGAGCATGGTCTGAAATCACACTTTGATTTTGAATTTCTAAACTTCATAAATGTAAAACAATAAATTTCTGTAAGTCATCCAGTTTATGGTAATTGTTATGGAAGACCTAGGAAACTAATACACTGGGTCATGTGATAATTCTATGTTTAACTTTTTTAGAAATGTCAAACTGATTCAATAGCAGGTGTACCATTTTACAATCCCATCAGCAATGTTTGAGGGCTCCAGTTTTTCCACATCCTCACCAACAAATGTTTTCTTTCTTTCTTTTTTTAATTATAGCCATTTTAGTGGGTGTGAAGTGCTAGCTCATGGTGGTTTTGATTTGCATTTCCTTAATGAGCAATGATGTTCAGCATCTTCATTCCCTTGCATGTTGATATTCAGTTGTCCCAGCACCATATGCTGAAAAGAGTATTCTTTCTCCATTGAATGACCTTGGTAGCTCTCTCTAAAGCCAATTGACGATACATGTATGTGTTTACTTCCAGAATCTCAACTTTATTCCTTTGATATATATATATATCTATGCCAGTATCACACTGTCTTGATTACTATTGCTTTGTAGTAGAATTTGAAATCAGAAAGTGTGAATCTCCCAACTTTGCTCTTATTTGTCAGGAGTGTTTTGCCTATTCTGGGTCCTTTGTAATTCCATATGACTTTTAGGATCAGCTGTATAGTTCTGTAAAAGAAAAGGCAGTTTGAATTTTGAAAGGGATTGTGTTGAATCTCTGGATCAATTTGGGGACTACTGGTATTTTAACAATATTAAATGCTCCAGTCATTGAACACAGGATGTTTATCTACCACTTATTTATATCTTTCATTTCTTTCAGTGATATTTTGTAATTTTCAGTGTAAATTCTTATACTTCTTATGTTAAATTATACCTAAATATTTGGTTTTTATTTGATGTTTTTGTAAATGAATTTGTTTTCTTCATTTTCAGACTGTTCATTGACAGGGTATAACTGATTTTTGTGTATTGATCTTACATCCTGAAACTTTGCTAACCTTACTTATTAGTTCTAATAGATTTTTTCTTTTTTATTTATAAAGGTAAAATTGTTATATAACATTATGTTTCAGGTGTACATTATAGTTTGACATCTGTATACACTACAAAGTTATCACCACTAAAAATCTAGTTATCATCCATCACTATACAGTTGACCCCCTTTATTCATTTCACCCACTCTCCACACCTCTTCCACTTTGGTAACCCACATTCTAGTCTCTGTATCTATGAGTTTATTTTTGTTTTATTTGTTTTTTTTGGTGTGGTTTTTTTTTCCCACTCTTTTTTATGAGTGAAATCATGTTGTTTTTCTCCATCTGACTTATTTCACTTAGCACAATAACTTTAAGGTTCATCCATGTTGCCACAAATGATTTTGTTCCTTTTTTTATGGCTGAGAAGTATTCCATTCTATATTCCACATTTTCTTTTTTTTTTTTCTTTAAAGATTTTATTTATTCATTTGAGAGAGCGAGCGAGAGAAGGAGAGAGCAGAAGCAGGGCAAGGAACAGAGGGAGGAGAAGCAGACTCCCCGCTGATCAGGGAGCCCAATGTGGGGTTTGATCCCAGGACCCTCCCTGGGATCATGACCTGAGCTGAAGGCAGACACTTAACCAACTGAGCCACCAGGCACTCCTATACTCCACATTTTCTTTCTCCATTCATTTATTGATGGGCATTTAGGTTGTTTCCATTTCTTGGCTATTGCAAATAATGCTACAATTTGAATATAGGGGTGCATATATCTTTTTGAATCAGCATTTTTTATTCTTTGGATAAATCCCCAGACGTGGAAGGTCTAGATCATATGGTAGTTCTAACCTTAGTTTTTTTGAGGCATCTACATACTGTTTTTCATAGTGTCTATACCAATTTACATTCCCATCAACCATTACAATGGTTCCCTTTTCTCCTCATCTTCTCCAACCTTTATTATTTCTTTTCCTTTTGATAATAGCCATTCTAACTGGTGTGAGGTGATAGCTCATTGTGGTTTTGATTTGCATTTCCCTAATAATTAGTGTTGAAGATCTTGTCGTGTGTCTGTTAACTATCTGTATGTCTTCTCTGGAAAAATGTCTGTTTAGCTCCTCTGCCCATTTTTCAATTAGTTTTTTTTGTTGTTGTTGTTGTTGAGTTGTATGAGTTCTTTATATATTTTTGATATTAAGCCCTTGTCAGATATATGCTTTGGAAAAATAACCTCCCATTCAGTAGATAGTCTTTTGGTTTTGATAATGATCTCTTTTGTGTACAGAAGTTTTTTGGTTTGATGTAATTCCATTTGTTTATTTTTGCTTCTGTTTCCCTGGCCTTTGGAATCAGATTCACAAAAATATCACTAAGAACAATGTCAAGGAGCTTACTGCCTATGTTTTTTTCTAGGAATTTTATGGTTTCAGGTCTTATATTCAAGTCTTTAATAATCCATTTTGAGTTAATTTTAATGTATGATGTAAGATAGTTTAGTTTCATTCTTTTGCATGTTGCTGTCCAGTTTTCCCAACACCATTTATTGGAGAGACTGTCCATTCTCCGTTGTATGTTCTTGGCTCCTTGGTGGTAAGTTAATTGTCCATAAAAGTGTTGGCTTGATTCTGAGCTCTCTATTCTGTTCCATTGATTTGTGTATCTGTTTTTATGCCAATACCACACTGTTTTGGTTACTATGGCTTTGTAGTATAGTTTAAAAATCAAGAAGTGCAATAACTTCTGCTTTGTTCTTCTTTCTCAAGATTGCTTTGGTTATTTGTGGATCCATACAAACTTTATAATTATTAGTTCTAATTCTGTGAAAAATGCCATTGGAATTTTGATAGAGATTGCCTTGAAACTGGCCTGCTTTGGGTAGTATGGACATTTTAACAATATTAATTTTTCTATTCCATGAGCATAGCATATCTTCCCATTTACTCATGTTTTCTTCAATTTTTTCACTACTGTCTTATAGTTTTTAGTGTATAAGTCTTTTATATCATTGGTTAAATTAATTCCTGGGTATTTTATTCTTTTTGATTTCTTAATTTCTCTTTCTGATAATTCATAGATATTAGTGAAAGATTTTGTGGGAAGTTTTGTGATTACTAACTAAATCTCTTTGCTTGTTATATGTGTATTCAGGTTTTTAATTTCTTCTTTTTTTTGGAATTTTGAGGTTTTTTCATTTGAAGGTAAACCTTAATGCTATTAAATTCACAAATATGCTAATTTAAATACCCAATTCTATTTATCTAAAACACACATTGCAAACATACAAATATCTATTCTCTCCACATGTCAGAGCCTATTCATTTCATGGTTTGGAAATGCGGAGAATAGATTCCCCTTAAACTGCAAGTCAGCAGGTGTTTCTTTACAGTTAACTTTAGCAAAATTCATACAAAATAGTAATTAACAATGATCTTCTTGTTAACTCACAAGGAAACACCTTCAAAACTGCATTTTGTTAAAGTTTCTGTACTAAAATGTAGAAAAACTGAACTACACAAATATTGAAAAGTTAAAAATTCCTTAATTTTTTATTCCTGGCACCACTACCACAATTTACAGGGCAATATACCTGATGTAATGAAAAGAAAAAGAAAAAGACAAAGCTACAACAGATAAAAGACCTTAGGAATGTACATCTAATTGACACTACATTGCATTAATCAATAGCTGCACTTTTTGCAGACTGTGGCTATGACAGTCCTGAACAAGAAGGGTTTCCTGTTTAAGCTGCAGTAACTTTTCTGACTATGGATCATTGTTCCTTCTGTGGCAGATTTTTACAGTTCCTCTAATGCATTTGGGACAATTGTTCAAAGTAACCTGCAGCTTTCCTGACAACTCCTTGTTCTCTCTCCTGCTAAGAACTGTAGCTCTTTTCTTCTGAATTTTTTTTAGAACCTTCTGCTGCTATATCCACCACTTCCACCACCAGATCCATAACCACCAGCATAGGGACTGCCTGAGCTTCTTCCACCAAAACTGCCCCCCTTCATGGGTCCATAATTTGATTGCTGTTGTCCACTATAATTTCCAAAATCATTATAGTTCCCACCACCACCATAGTTACCACCTCCAAAATTTCCTCCTTCATTGTGACCATCATATCCTCCACCACCACCTCCATATCTGCCTTCTTGGTTTCCATATCCTGGTCCACCACCACCATAGCCTTCTCTACTGCTATAACCGGGACCACCACTATAGTTGCCACCATCACCTCCAAATCCATTATATCCACCATCACCTCCTCCATAACTACCTCTGCTACCACCACCTCCGCCACCATAGCCTCCTCTTCCACCGAAGTTTCCACCACGGCCAAAGTTACCACCACCTCCAAAGTTTCCTCCACAACCCATGAAGTTGCCAGACTGCTTTGAAAAGTATGGCAAGATTGAAACCATAGAAGTTAATGGAAGACAGGCAGAGTGGAAAAAAGAGAGGATTTGCTTTTGTAACTTTTGATGATCATGATACAGTTGATAAAATTGTTGTTCAGAAATACCACACTATTATTGTGAAGTGAAAAAAGCCCTTTCTAAACAAGAAATGCAGTCTGCTGGATCACAAAGAGGTCATGGAGGTGGATCTGGCAACTTAATTTCTTCCTGAGTTAGTTTTGGTAGTTTGTGTCTTTCTAGGAATTTTTCCATTTTATTTATCTAATTTGTTGACACTCATTATATTCCCCAATACTCCTTTATATATGTATGTGTTTAGTAGGAATGTTTCCCCTTTTATTCATAATTTTAGTAATTTGAGTCTTCTCTCTTTTTTTCCTTTGTTAAAGATCTGTCAAAATTATTGATCTTTTCATAGAACCAACTTTTGGTTTCATTGATTTTCTCTATTATTTTTCTATTCTCTATTTCATTATTTTAGTTATAATTTTTATTATTAGATTATTGACTTGAAATTAAAAAACTAGGCATGTACAGCTATAAAGTTACTCCTGAACACTGCTATTGCTGCATTCTATAGATTTTGGCATGCTGTATATTCATTTTCTTTTCATTTCAAACTATATTTAAAATTCCCTTGATTTCTTCCTTGATCCATTGGTTAAAAATGGACTGTTTAGTTTCCACATATTGTAACTTTCTCAAATTTTCTTCTCTGGATTTTTCCTTTCAAACTATTATTGGAGAGTATGCTTTGTTTGATTTCAATATTTTAAAATTTATTTATTGAGACTTGTTATATGGCCTAACATGTTATCTATAATGGAGAATGTTCCATGTGAGTTGGAGAATGTGTATTCTGCTGTTCTGTAGATGCTTGTTAGGTCTAGTTGGTTTATATTGTTCAACCTGTGATTTCTTTGCTGATTTTTTGTATATTTGTTCTATCCATGTTTGAAAGTGGGATATTGAGGTCTCCAGCCATTGTTGAATTGTCTATTTCTTCTTTCAATTCTGACAGTTTTATTTCATATAATTTGGGATGGTTATTGGGTGCATATATATTTATAATTGCTCTATCTTCTTGATGGATTCATGCTTTTATCATTATGTCTTTCTTTGACTCTAGTAACAATACTTGTCCTAAAGTCTAATTTGTCTAATATTAGTGTAGACTCTCTAGTTCTCTTTTGCCGACAATTTGCATTGTGCATATTCTTCCATCGTTTTACTTTCAGCATATTTTTGTCTTTGAAATTAAAGTGTCATGTAGTCAGTATATAGTTAGATCATGATTTATTTATTTATTTATTTATGTATGTATTTGTTTGTTTGTTTTTTATTTAATTCCTTTTAGAGAGGGAGAGGGAGGGCGGAGAGGCAGAAGGAGAGGGAAAGAGAGAATATTAAGCAGGCTCCATGCCCAGTGTGAAACCCAACTTGGGGCTCAATCTCATAACCCTGAGATCATTACCTGAGCTGAAATCAAGAGTCAGACACTTAACTGACTAAACCACCCAGGTGCACCTAGATCATGTTTTTAAATCAAGTCTGCCAATTTCTGACTTTTAAATGGAGAGCTTCATCCATTTACATATAATATAATTATTGTTAAGGTTAAAATTTATACTTTCCATTTTGCTACTTGTTTTTTATATTTCTTTTTCCCCCTCAGTTCCTTCATTAATGCTGTCTTTTGTGTAAAATAGATATTTTCTAACACATTTCAATTCCCTTGTAATTTTTTTGATATATACTTTTAATTTTTTTTAATTTGAATGTACTTGACACATAATGCTACATTAGTTTTAGGTGTGCAGTATAATGATTCCACATCTCTACATGTTATGGTGTGCTCACCACAAATATAGCTACCATCTGTTACCATTCATTGCTGTTACAATATCAATGACTATATTCCTTATGATGTACCTTTTATTACCATGACTTATTCATTCTATAACTGGAAGCCTGTATCTCTCACACCCCTTCCATTTTGCTTATCCTCGCCTTCCCTCTGGCAACCATCAGTTTGTTTTCTTTATTTATAGGTCTGATTCAGCTTTCTGTTTATTTATTTGCTTTGTTTTTTAGATTCCACATATGAGTGAAATTATATGGTATTTGTCTTTCTCAGTCTGACTTATTTCCTTTGCATAATGCCTCTAGGTCCATTCATGTTGTCTCAAATGGCACAATCTTAGTATTTTTTTAAGGCTGTGTAGTATTCCATGTATGCACACACATATGCATGTACACAAACACACACACCACATTCTCCTTATCCATTCATTTATTGATGAACACTTAGGTTGCTTCTCTATCTTGGTAATTGTAAATAATGTTGCAATAAACATAGGGATGTATATACCTTTTTGGATTAGTATTTTCATTTTCTTTGGGTAAATATCCAATAGTGGAATTATTGCATTAATTATTTCTATTTTATTTTTTTGAGGAAACTCCATACTGTTTTCCACAGTGGCTGTACCAATTTACATTCCCACCAACAGTGTACAAGGGTTCCTTTTTCTCCACATTCTTGCCGAAACTTGTTATTTCTTTTTTATTTTAGCTATTCTACCAGGCATAAGGTGATATTTCTTTGTGGACAAATTCAAGTGAGATCAAATAAATGCAAGCATTTTGAGTGGAGTCTTCCAGGGAACCACCAGACAGGTCAAATATTACTTCTTTGAGAAGGAATTTTGTTCTACTCCCTCTGTAACTGGGAATGTGAGCTGTGATTTTTTTCAAAACTAACTGGGCTGGGGTATGGGACTAGTGCAAGTTAAAACAAAGTTCAATTTCTTACTGAGATTTAGCTGTTTTTCTTGATTAGATGCTTCCTGGATTGCTACAAGCCTTTTGTTAATTTTCAGAGTTCTGAAAAAGTTAATTTTGACAGGATTTTGGGCCATTTTTTGGTTGCTTTTATGGAGGGCCAAACTTTTGGAGGTACTTACACTGCCAGTTTTGTTGATGTCACTCTGCAATCGGTTTTGATCTTAGAGAACACTAACTTTGACATCCAATTAAGTGAAGTATTATCTCCCCACCCCAAATTCTGTTATTCATATTCATATCCATATTGTGGACCAGTACTACAAAAAAATTGTACTCAGTTATCATGATTATATTTTGAATTTCTTCATAACATAATAAAAAATTAAAAAATGAATTTCTTCAAAAAATTTGTGGAAATATGTTTTTTTTCTTGCTATATAAGGAGCTATACAATATTCTCATTTTTTCCCTCTTGGTCCAAAGCTTAAAATATTTACTATCTGGCCCTTTAAGGAAAGAGTTTGCTGACCTCTGGTCTAATCCAAGGTCCAGAGATTTCCTTCTGTGTTTCTTCTAGAAGTTTTATAGTTTTAGGTTTCCCAATTAGATCTATGATCCGTTTTGAGTTAATTTTTTTATTGTTAGATATGGATCCACATTCGTTTTTTCTATATGGATATGCAGTTATTCCATCACACTTTGTTGAAATAGCTGCTTTTCTCCACTACATTGTCTTTGCATCTTTGTCAAAAATCAGTTGTCTATGTGTGGGTTTATTTCTGGGACTGTATTCTTTTCCTTCTACTATTTATTTTATATTTATGGCAGTACAATGTTGTTTTGATTACTACAGATTCATAATAATTCTTGAAATAGGTAGTATAAGTTCTTCAACTTTATTATCACTTTTTTCCCCAGAACTGTTTGGCTATTCTAGGTCTAGGATTTTTTTTTTTTTTTTTTTTAGGTCTTTAACATTTTTATATGCAATTTAGAATTAGTTTGTCAATTTCAACAAGAAAGTCTTGCTGAGATTTTTATTGGGATTGTGTTGAATATATAGATCAATTTGAGGAGAGTTTACATCTTAACAATATTGAGTCTTTGGACCTATGAACAAGGCATATCTCTTCATTTGTTTAGGTCTTCTTTGATTCTCTCAGCAGTATATTATTTCTAACTCCAGGGTCTTGGAAATTAAGGACTACACATACTACAGTACTAAACATAAACATGGGAGCTCTGATTTTTGATCCAGGTTGCCTGGTTTTAAATTACGACTTCACTATTTGCCAGCTGTATGATCTTGGGAAACTCCTTGACTTCTTTGCTTCAGTTTACCATTTATAAAATGGGGAAGTGATAGTACTTATTCACAGGATTAATATGAGTTAATATATATAAATTGCTTAGGATACTTCCTGGCACAGAGTAATTACTATGTAAAGATCAGCTTTTGTATGCTGTGATAAGGAATTCATATATACATTATTTGATTAATACCATTAATACTGAGGGATGCTATGCCTAAAACTTCTTATTGTACATGGGCAAATAGAAATTAAAGATATAGCAAGTGGCAATAACTCCAAAAACATTTTTCTTGAACCACAATCTTTATTTTTTCAAATTTTATTTAAATTCTAGTTAATTAACATAGTAGAATTCAGTGGTTCAGTAGTAGAATTCAGTGGTTCATCACTTACATACAACACCCAGTGCTCATCATAACAAGTGCCTTCCTTAATACCTATCACCCAGGGGCGCCTGGGTGACTCAGTCAGTTTAGCGGCTGCCTTCGGCTCAGGCAATGATCCCAGGGTCCTGGGATCGAGCCCCGTGTCAGACTCCTTGCTCAGTGGGGACCCTGCTTCTCCCTCTGCCTCTGCCTACTGCTCTGCCTATCTGTGCTCTCTATGTCTCTGTCAAATAAATAAATAAAATCTTTTTTTAAAAAAAGATGTGATCTTAAAAAATAAATACCTATCACCCATCCAGCCCATTCCCCACCTCCCTCCTTCCCTCCATCAACCCTCAGTTTGTTTCTTATGGTTTGCTTCCCTCTCTCTCTTTTTTTTTCCTTCCCATTTGTTCATTTGTTTTGTTTTTATAATTACACATAGGAGTGAAATAATATGATATTTGTTTTTCTCTGACTGACTTATTTCACTTAGCATAATACCCTCTAGCTCCATCCACATCACTGCAAATGGCAAGATTTCATTTTTTTTGATGGCTGAGTAGTATTCCATTGTATATATACACCACATCTTCTTTATCCATTCATCAGTTGATGGACATTTGGGCTCTTTC